GGCNTGAAAGTGGAATAATCTTTCATTNTCCGAAATCTGATAGTTTTATAGGCTTGTAAGCGTCATCCATCGTAAATAAATATTGTCGTTTATTCGTATATGATAGTATTAATGCACTTCAACATTCTATATCAATATCTACGGCTTTATAAAATTGACTATTTAGTACAGTACATTCTTCTAATATCTCTTGTCTTTCTTACATCCATCAGCTCTTTCTCTTGACATAATTTATCTTTTATGTATGTGCTCGATTAACGTTTTCTTGTCATTTCCTATCTAATCTATTTCTGCATATCCATCTACTTCTATTTCTCTCGCTCTATCTTCTGCTGTTATCCTCTATATCATACCATACTTTCTGTCTACAGTATAACATAACATGCTTATCGTCTGTGGAAACATTACGCTTGCTTCGATTATAACCCTTCTAGCACGTACTCTAATCTCTTTTTAATTAAATAAACGGTATTCGCGAAATTACTTGAATGTCACATGGTTATATTATATTATATTATATTATTGCTGGCATGATGTTAGATAACCATCGCAAGCAGCCTTTTATGGTCTAGATGAACACGATCGTTTTACTAATGTTGTACGGTGTACAGTGTACACTGTACAGTACAGTACAGTACAGTATAATGTATAAGATTGGCCGTGATCAATCTTAAGGACAAAATCAGTCTTAGGAATGGCCGTAACATATGTAATTATGTATACTGTACAGGCGTCAGATTTTCAGATTTTAAACAGAAAAGATTATTCCGAAATACATTACATCGATAAATCCCATCAATATTCTACGATAACCCAAAAATCCGTCGGAGATCGATTAATAACCGCCTTTGCAAAGAAGCTTAATTTATATGTACTGTACTGCCGTACAGTATACAGTACTGTACACTGTACAGTACTGTACTGTAAGTCTGCGCTGAACTTTGCCATACAGTACAGTATTTTCCAGTTGCTGTCAGAGTAAATGTACTGTACAGTACAGTTCAGTACTGTAGTGTACAGTATTTTTACTAATATTTTAGTAACCATTTTTGTCTGTTACAAAGCTTGGATGCTTGAAAAACACTTATTCTGGACAGGTGTAGTGATCAGTCCACAGGACTCCAGGTAGTAGTCCAGGACTGTACGTACAGTACTGTAATGTTTTCTAAATTTTGACTCTGTTATATTAATAAACATTTTCTGTCGTAGCGTACGTGACTGATTTACTTACTGTATGCAGATATTTC